AAGAGGATGCATCTGTGGTTATCAACTCACGGAGACCCCGTGGGGGCTGAGGCCCAACATCTCTCCCAACAATGCAGGGCTGTGCCAGCCTCGGCCTCAGCCTCCTCCACACACCCCTGGAGAGACAATATAGTTGAAGCCAGAATACAGTCTGAGAAAAAGGCATCTGGAACTTTTAATTGACCAGACAAAAGACCAACACTGTTATGTCAACCTCATACTTATAAATCAATATTAACTTAACTCATTGTTCTTTAATTGGCTTCATTTTTCTATTACATTTACTAAGTTTTCATTCAATTTGGACTAATTTTGCATAATATTTTATAGACGGGACAGTGATTTGGAAACCATTTTCCATAAGTGCAGCTTAATATTGAAATATTCTTGCATTCGGCTGTCCTTGAGATTAGTGTTTCTTCATAGACTATTGGTTCAGAAAACTTTAAAATTATTTCTTTTATTTTTGAGATGATATAATTACATCATTTCCCCTTCCCTTTCTTCCCTCCAAAGTCTCCCCTAAAGCCCCCATTGTTCCTTTTCAAATTCATGGCCTCTTTTTTCATTGTCGGTACATATATAGACACACACACACATATATACATGTATTCCTAAATAATATTGCAGCCTGCTCAGTCTGTATAATGTTACTTGTGTGTCTGTCTTCAGGGCTGACTATAACCAGCTGCTATACTCTTCCCCGGGGAGGAGTATTCCCCCTCTGCCAGTTTTCGTCAGTTGCTTGTAGAGCTAAGGGCGTGTGGTGCCCCCTCCCCCACCTCCGTCCACTTGGGCACATTTATTGCTCTTGTCCTTGTCCAGCTCATGTTTGGACAGTCATGTTGGTAAGACTCTATGAGTGTCTGCCTCTGTGTTCCTAGGAGACGCAATCTCGCAGGAAGCTCCTGGTTGCTCTGGCTCTTACAACTCTCTTTCCCTTCTTCTGCAATGTTCCCTGAGCCTTGGGGAACTTGCCGATCTCCTGAGGGCCGAGACCACCAAGAAGATGTTAAAAACTCTGGAGGAGGTCAAACACTCAACCTCAAGATCTCATACCCACTGAACCCTGAGCACAGTGACACCAACGAACCTTGGCGTCCAGGCTTCCTGAGCCTGCTTCTTGGGCTTAGGGCCATATAAAATACCAGCTTGGCTTTCATGCCTGTGGAACAAAAGACAGAAGAGCTGGGACCCCTCTGCAGTCCTAAGCAATGCTTATCTGACCTGAGAAAATGGATCTCGAGTATCTCAGGGGACCCATACTGTATAGTCTGGAGGGAGGAAGCAGTGTTGGTTGAAGTGACATAGGGACAGAGGCATGATGTCACAGTCCCCTTTGGACACAGCAGGTCCCCTTGCACAAAGCCCTCTGGCTTTTTCTCCCAAACCAGAGGTCTCTCAGAGAAAGAACTGGTTTGTGTTCCCTCAGGAAATTCTTTTCAGGATATAATGATAATGTTTTTGCATAATATATTACCAGGAGTAATTTTTGACCATTGAATGTGGACACTGTGCTGGATTTGTTGTTGTTGTTGTTTTATTTTGTGGATTCTCGTTCCCCCACACCCCTAAGCCTTGCTATCTTCCCATATAAAAACACTGACCACTAGCAGAAATTGTTGCGTCTTCTAGCTAAATGTTTGGGGCAAAGCCGTCATTTCCTGAGGTTTATTAGGTGGAGACAGTGCGATTCGTCTGGCAGCTCCGCAGGGCTGTGTGGAATTTCAGCTGAGAGATGTTCTCAGAACTCTAAAATGGTCCACAGATGTTCTCGCTGTTGTAAGTCGTCTGCCGGGCGGTGCCAGTCCCGAGCAAGGTGCCTCTCAGCCAGACTTTGGGGTAGGAGAAAGATGAAAGGGCGATTGTGGTGACCGCTGTCCTCAAGGTCAAGTGGCTCTTGCCTGGATCATTCCTGTGACTGTCTAGAGCAGGCTTCCTGTCCCTGGAACTGGCATTGCAATGTAGGCAGACGCTCACCTTCTCTTCCCATGACATTTGCAGTCAACCGTTCTGTGCTTCCTGCAGGACTTAGAGGACGTGCTCAAGGGTGAGCTGAGTGGAAACTTCGAGAAGACAGCCTTAGCCCTTCTGGACCGTCCCAATGAGTACGCCGCACGGCAGCTGCAGAAAGCCATGAAGGGCTTGGGCACCGACGAGGCTGTGCTCATAGAGATCCTATGCACGAGAAGCAATAAGGTCAGTCCCGCTAGAGCCCTTGGTCCCAACTCCTGGAGAATAGGTCACTCACACATCCAAAATGGTTGACCCCCACACACCGCCCCGAGGAAGCTCACCCTCTACACAGTATCCATAAGGGGACAAGACTCTGGCCTGAATATGTCTGCTAAACTCAAGCAGGAAGAACTGCTCTGCCAGTCCTCCTGATGTCCTCCAGATGTCCATTGTCATGTTGCTGTCCATGGCTTGCCAGAAAAGCCATGTCAATCTAGGTTTTGTTTTTCTGTCAGAGGGGGCAGGATTCTATTTTATCTGTAGTCCTTCTGCCATGAATATCAATAAGCAGCCAAGTGTGTTCCTGTCACTACCTCATACACGGCTGTCACCTAGCACAAAACAGAAAACTTCAATAATGGGCAAAGGTGGGTGGTATCAGGGATTCCAGGGTACAGCCCCAGTGGCCAGGGGCATCTCCCTAGACAATTCTGTGTTAGTAGTTTTGTTGTTGTTGCTGCTGCCGTTGTTTTTCTTTGGGGTTTGGAGCCAGGGGTTTTTGACGATGCTGTTTGGATGTTTCTTTTTCTTTTCCTTTTGAGACAGAGGCTTGTGTAACCAAGACTGGCCTCAAATTCATTAGCTAAGCATGACCTTGGCCTCCCAGTCCTCTTGCCTCTCTGGAGTGTTGGGATTACTGGCACCAAACCCAGTTTCTTGTGGTACTCGAGATTAAACTGAGGGCTTCGCACTTGTTAGGCAAACACTCTACCAGCTGAGCCACATCCCCAAGCCCCACCCTGCATCCTGCATCTCCATCAGTAGCTCCAAGCCCCATCCTGCATCCCTCACCAGTAGTTCTCCCTGTTTGTCCCTTGAGAATGTACCCCCAATTTAGGAGCTGCATAGAACATTTGATGGGGTGCAGACACAAGCCAACTTGTCCTTGGTTCCCCAAGCCAGGAGGGCCAAGAGTAAGGTCCACCAACCATTCTTGAGAACTGGCTCTTCCCCACAACCGCCAGCCCCGGCGGAGTGGGGAGGCATGGCAGAGAGCATGCCAGAAAAGCCCAGCATTCTGACGCTCCTCGGAGGGGACAGTGGCAGTGGGTAGGCCAGCTATCAAGGGAAATCTGAAGCGCTGCCCTGCCACCATGCTGTGGTGTAATGATGTGACCCCTGCTTCCTCTGCTTGGCCAAACCTCGGCCTCACTCATGTCCACACAGCACCCCTATGAGCCAGGCCACTGCAGCAATCGTCAGTCCTCAGAATCTCTGGGATTGACAAAACCCCTCCATTTCTTTTTCCTTTTTGGTGCTGGGAATTAAACTCAGAGCCCACACCTGCCAGGCCAATGCTCTACCACTGAGCTAAATCCCCAGCCTGTAACCTTTCCATCTCAAGGAGAGAGAGATTAGCACAGACCCCATCCACTGTCATTCCATTGTCCCTATCTACTCTCCCTGTCCATGCCCACCCTTCCCAGACATGCATGCCCAGGTCCCAGCAAAGAAACAAAGAAGCAGGGCCCGCTCTTGTGAAAGGGTTGCTTTCATGAATGTTTTCTTGCTCTTACCAGGGTGCCTTTAAGATCCAAGCAACCAGCAAAGCCTTTCTTTCCATCAAGTAGACCTGCTGGTAAAAAGAAGAAACACACACACACACACACACACACACACACACACACACA